TGTGCTGGGGGGCCATAAGATTGTGGAAGTCGATTAAAGGGGAAGCATGTTGCCAAATAATTTCCAGATGTCTAGAACAGATGTTAGACATGGTTAAAGCATGTACAGCACATGTTGAACCATGTTGAGATTATTTTCCTACATTTCAAACACATGTTAAATTCAATGATAGGACTGTGAGGGTGTCCATTGTCATGGCATCCACCACCATACAGCCTGCGCGCGTGCCAAGCGAGAGCCCCGCAGTGAAAAAGGAGCCGCCTGCCGCGCGCGCGTAATGGCTCGGACGCTCTGGCCGTGTTGCCGTCCGAGGAAGCCTCGAGCGACGGGCTCGGTCCGAGAAGCGCCGATCCGAAGCGTGTGTGTGCGTGTGTGTGTGTGTGCGTGTATGTGTGTACTCAGCCTCGTGTGTGCGTGTGCGTGTGTATGTGTCTACTCAGCCTCGTCGTTGCGCGCGGGGCCGCAATCGCCAAGACAAGTGTGTGTGTGTGTGTGCGTGTGTGTGTGTTTGTGTGTGTGCGTGCGTGCGTGCGTGGGTGTGTGTGTGTGTGTGTTTTGAATGGTGTGTGTGTGCGTGCGTGCGTGTGTGTGTGTGTATGTCTGTGTGTGAGTTATGCGTGTGTCTCTGTGTGTGTGCGTGTGTGTGTGTGTATGTGTGCGTGCGTGCGTGCGTGCGTGCGTGCGTGTGTGTGTGTGGTGTATGTCTGTTTGTGTGTGTGTCTGTGTCTGTGTGTGGCGTGTGTGTGTATGTTTGTGTGTGTGTGTGGGTAGGGGGTGGGGGGGAAGGGAGGGGGGCGGGGGGAGCGGGGGGCGGTGTGTGTGTGTGTGTGTTTTTGTGTGTGTGTGTGCGTGTGGGCGTGCGTGCGTGCGTGTGTGTGTGTGTGTGTGTGTGTGTGTGCGCGTGTGTGTGTGTGTGTGTGTCTGTGCGTGCGTCCGTGCGTGCGTGCGTCCGCGTGTGTGCGTGTGTGTTTGGGCGTGTGTCTTCACAGCCGCGTCGTTGCGCGCGAGTCCGCTACCGCCAAAAAGTGAGTCGTGTGTGTGTCTGTGTGAGAGCGTGCGTGTGTGCTGGCGGGCGAGCGGGCGGGCGGGCGGGCGCGTGCACGTGCGCATGCGCGAGCTTTCGTGTGCGTGTGTGCGTGTGTGTGTGTGTGTGCGTGTGCGTGTGCGTGTGTGTGTGTGTGTGTGTGTTTGTGTTTGTGTGCGTGAGTGTGCATGTGTGTTGTGTGTGTTTGTGTGTTTGTGCGTGTGATGCGTGTGTGTTTGCACATGTGTGTGCCTGGAGTCTGTGTGTGCGTAGGCACTGGCCTAGGCTTCGGTCGCCGTACTTGACTCACTTCGCCTCGCCGCCCCGCGCGAGACCGCCACCGCCAACAAGTGTGTAGTGTCTGTGTGTGTGTGCGTGTGTTGTGTGTGTGCGCGTGTGTTTCCCGCCTGAGTTCCTTGCCGCGCTTTTCCCCTGCTGCTCCGACTTGCTCCGCCCCGTCGCTGCGCGCGAGGCCGCGACCGCCACAAAGCGTGTGTGTGTGTGTCTGTCTGTGCGGATGTCTGTGTGGGTGTTTACGTGTGTTTTGTGCGGGTGCGTGTGCGTGTGCGTGTGTGTGCGTGTGTGCGTGTGTGTGTGCGTGTGTGTGTGTGTCAGTGTGTTTGTGTGTGTGTGTGCCTGTGCGTGTCTGTGCGTGTCTGTGCGTGTCTGTGCATGTCTGTGTGTCTGTGTGTCGGTGTGTCTGTGTGTCTGTGTGTCTGTGTGTCTGTGTGTCGGTGTGTCTGTGTGTCTGTGTGCTTGTGTGTCGGTGTGTCAGTGTGTCGGTGTGCCTGTGTGTCTGTGTGTCTGTGTGTCTGTGATTATGTGTGTCTGTGTATTTGTGTGTCAGTGTGTCTGTGTGTCTGTGTGTCTGTGTTTCAGTGTGTCTGTCTGTGTGTGTCTGTGTGTGTCTGTGTGTCAGTGTGTCGGTGTGTCTGTGTGTCTGTGTGTCTGTGTGTCTGTGTGCCTGTGTGTCAGTGTGTCAGTGTGTCTGTGTGTCTGTGTGTCTGTGTGTCTATGTGTCTGTGTCAGTGTGTCTGTGTGCCTGTGTGCCTGTGTGTCAGTGTGTCTGTGTGCGTGTGTGCCTGTGTGTCTGTGTGTCTGTCTGTGTGTCGGTGTGTCTGTGTGTCTGTGTGTCTGTGGGTCTGTGTGTCTGTGTGTCAGTGTGTCTGTGTGTGCCTGTGTGTCTGTGTGTCTGTGTGTCTGTGTGTCTGTGTGTCTGCGTGTCTGTGTGTCTGTGTGTCTGTGTGTCTGTGTGTCTGTGTGTCTGTGTTTCAGTGTGTCTGTGTGTCTGTGTGTCAGTGTGTCGGTGTGTCGGTGTGTCTGTGTGTCGGTGTGCCTGTGTGCCTGTGTGTCGGTGTGTCTGTGTGTCTGTGTGTCTGTGTGTCTGTGTGTCTGTGTGTCAGTGTGTCTGTGTGTCTGTGTGTCTGTGTGCCTGTGTGTCAGTGTGTCATTGTGTCTGTGTGTCAGTGTGTCTGTGTGTCTGTGTGTCTGTGTGTCTGTGTGTCCGTGTGTCGGTGTGTCAGTGTGTCGGTGTGTCAGTGTGTCTGTGTGTGTCTTTTGTGTGTGTGTGTGTCTGTGTGTCTGTGTTCTCTCGACTGCGCATGGCGCACAAGCGAGAGAAGCCGCGCTATGACTACGGATCGCGACCATTCTGCACAGATGCGTGAAGTCTGAAGCCCTAAGTTTCGAAACCATGCATTGCAAAGGGCGTTTTGGGCAAACCGCCCAAGGCGACCCTCAGGCAAATCTGGTGGGTCGACGGGGGAGAATCCGTGCATGAGGAGGGTGACAGAGGCAGGCGGGGGATGGTGGAGAGATCCCCCCTCCTCCTCCGTCACCACGGCACTGCAGTGCCCGCTGTCTGTTGATTTCACTCGTCCTCCCCTACCTTCCCCCTCCTCCCCATCCCCCGTCTTCTTAGTTCTAGCGTCCTCCTCCTCCTCTCCTTCCCCCACCTCTCCATCCCCCTCCTCCCCCTCACTCTCTTGCCCCTCTCCCCCTCATTGCTCCTCCTCTTTCCCCGTTTCCCTTCCTGTCGCTCCTGCCCATCACTCTCCTCCCCCCTCCTCTTTGCCCTTCATACCTCCCCCCTTTCCTTCCGATGATTGCTGCGACCTTGAGTGCACACCATGACGGGCGCTTACAAGCACCGTGCTTCCCAGGGCGGTGACGCCAGGAAGCTCGGCGTGCTGGGGGTGCTAAGGCGCCCCGGAGCCAGCAGTTCAGGTCCTCCTTCCTAGCCTTCCTTCCCCCTCCCCCCTCCACATCCTCCTCTGTGCTCCCTCCCTCCTCCCCCTCATCCCTCACTCCTCCCTGATCTATCCATCCACTTCCCCCTCATCGCCGAGGGCATCCCTCATCCTACTTTCCTTCACCCCGCCCCCACTTCCTTTATACTCAAGCATCGGCTCAGCTGGCTCGTGGTTCTCTCACCCTAGCCGCCTTCGCCTCCTCGTGGGGTTGGGGGACGCCGGGTCTGCTGCTGCGCGAGCATCTCGACCTATTCTGTGTTGCTTCTCCGACGGCGAGAGAAGGCGATCGGTGCAAGCGAGCAGGCTGTCCTCAGTCGCGCGCAGTGCCGCGACGCTTGTGCACTGTAGTGGGTTTGGTCTAACCCTCAGCATTCAACCCAGCGTCTTCTTTGTGCGCAGCAGTGGGGGAGCAGGGACCGTGTTTGATTGATGCGGGTTTAGTTGCTGGCTTTGTGCCAGGTGCACGCGGGATTCTCCCCCTGCCAGGGCATGTTCGTCGGGCGCTTGTTTCTGTCAAGGCGCGGCCATCGGTGAACACATGGTGCTCTCGGTCGCGTTTCTTCAACATTGGCTGGAGCTCGGTGGGTTTTGATTTCGCTGCACGTGTGTACCTGGCTGTTGCAGTGTTCTCTTCCTAGGCTTCAACGGTGGCGTCCGTCCAGAGGCTGCAGGCAGTAGGAGGTCCCAGGGGCCACGGGCTCACCGAAACTCCTCCTCACTGCAGTCACAGGCGTGCTTCAGGTTGGACGTGGACAGGGGCATCTGCTGGTGTTTCGTCAGCGACCAGCAGGACTCCCTCGTCCGCGTTCACGCCAGCAGCTTCGGGCGCACAGTGCGGGGGTGGTTGGGGCACACTCAGCGCCATGGCTCTCGCGTAGTCTCAGCTCTCGTTCTCTTCTTCGTCGCCTGCGACATGGAGCTCAGAAGGGCGGCTCGAAGGCACGTTGGATCTCGTATCGCGATTGTCTTCACTCGCTCACCACTCACCCCGCTCCCTCCATCCTCCGCCTCCTGCCTTCCCCATCCCTCCCTCCACCTGCCCTTCCCTCCCACCTTCCCCATCCTTTCCTCCCTCCTCCTGGCCTCCCTTTCCCCCCCCCTTTCCCACGATCGCATCCATGCACCACCAGCGTGCCAGGCCAGGGCCGTCCTGGGCCCCACGATGGTGCAGAGACCCTCCTGGCCTCGGCCATGAGGGCGTTTACACCAGGCCAGGGCCAGGATTGCCCTGACCTGGCACAGTGGTGGTGTATGGATGCCTTCTGCGTACCTCTGTCCTCCACCCCCCCCCCCGGAGGTGAAGGAGGAGGCGGCGGGAGGAGGGGAAGGAGGAGGAGGAGGAGGAGGAGGAGGAGGCGGCGGGAGGAGGAGGAGGAGGAGGAGGAGGAGGAGGAGGAGGAGGGGGAGGGGGGCAGGGGCAGGGCATGGGCACGGGGAGGGGGAGACGGAGGAGGGGGAGGGGGGGAGGGAGTGGGGGGAGGAGGAGGAGGAGGAGGAGGAGGAGCAGCCTCCCTCCGCCTTCGCCCCCCAAGCCCCGCTCCGAGGTCGTCGCGTCGTCCGGCCGCGCCGAGCCCCTGCGCGGGTACTTCGAGTCGCTGGGCGCCCGCCGCGTGATCGGGCGGCTCGAGCCCGAGAGGCCCCAGGGTCTTGGAGGGGAGGGCGGAAGGGGGGGGGCGGTAGGAGGAGGAGGAGGAGGAGGAGGCAGAGGAGGCGGAGGAGGAGGAGGCTGACGCTATAACACACATATCTATATATGTAAGTACGTATGTAAATATGTATCGAAGTCCGCTCAACACATGATGGAGGAGGAGGAGGAGGAGCAGGAGGAGGAGGAGGGAGGAGGAAGGCGGCTGCCGACGAGGGGGGTGGGACGGGTGGAGAGAGTGCGGGGGGAGGAGGGTGGTGGAGGGAGGAGGGAGGAGGTATGAAGAGGAGGAAGGGAGAGAAAGCGGAGAAGGAAGGAGGGAGGCGAAGGGCGGAGGGAGAGAGAGGAGGAAGAGGGAAGGAGAGGAGGAGGAGGATGAGGAGGAGGACGAAAAGGACGACGGCGACGACGACAATTGTGGACGGATGAGGGAGGGAGGGAGGCGGGGGGAGGGGAAGGGGTGTCGGGAGCGGGAGGATCGCATGGAAAGGGAGAGGGCGGGATCGAACGGGAGCAGCGCAAACGGCAGGAGGCTTACAAGAGGGAGCAGGGGAGGCGGAGGAAGAATGCGACGAGGCAGGGGGGGAGGATGCGGAGGAGGATGGCGGATGGGGAAAGGGCGAGGAGGGGAAGGGCGAGGAGGGAGGCAACGCCGTATCGTGGTAGGGTGGAGGAGGATAATGGGTGAAGGGTGAACATAAGGAGCGGGAAGGGCGAGGAGGGAGGCGAAGCCGTTTAATGGTAGGATGATGAGGGTCATGGGTGAAGGATGAAGCAGGGAGCGAAGGGCGGGGGCGGGGGAGAGTAGGGCACAGCTAATGATCAGAGTGAGGGGACCGAACGGTCATTCGCTGTCCCTGAGCGCGTGGCCGAAGTGAGGTTCAGCGCTGCGGATTGGTGCCGTCGTCGGTATTGTTATTGTTGTTGTCGTCGTCGTTGTCGTCGCCGTCGTTACTGTTGATGTTGTTGTTCATGGTGGTGTTGTTGTTGCTGGTGCTGTTGTTGATGTTGTTGTTGTGGCTGTTGTCGTGGGTGGTGTTGTTGTTTGTGTGTGTTTGTTTGTGTGTTTGTGTGTCTGTCGGTTGGCTAGTTTGTTTGTTTGTTTGTGTGGTTTGTTGTTTGTGTGTTTTGTTCATTGTTGGTTGTTGGTTGTTTGTTGTTTGTTGTCGTCGTCCCCTGCACGACCTGGCCCGCGACCAGGTCCGCGACCCATCCGCGACACACCCGCGACCCACCCCGCGACCCGCCCGCGACCCACCCGCTAACCACCCGCGACCTGGCCTGCGACCCACCCGCGACCTACCCGGCACGCACCCGCGACCCGGCTCGCGACCCACTTGCGACCCACCAGCGACCCACCCGCGACCCACCCGCGACCCGGCCCGCGACCCCTCACATTATCTGAACGGAACGATCTGCGCCTGCGGCGGGCACGTTGGATATTTTGTGAAGATCCAGCGCTTGCGGCGTGCTTGTTCAGAGCCTCGCAGACCGCCGACATCCCAGCCGCCCCCTCACTCTTGGCAATTGCGGTACGCTGCGTCGTTTATACAAGTAGGGGGATGATGAGGTCGAGGAAACCAAGGAGGGAGACGAGGACGATGTTGAAGAGGGGGGTGGAGGGGTGGGCGGAGGAAGTGGAACAACAAGAATCAGGAGGACGAGGAGGAGGAGCAGGAGGGACGTGTCAAGACGGAGAGGGTGACGAGAAGGGGAGGTGGGAGGGAGGAAGAGGAGGAGGAGGAGGAGGAGGAGGAGGAAGAGGAAGGGCGCCAGCGTCGATGCAGGCCTGGGCGAGTCTGCGGTTCTTCGTTTACAGATTCGCGCCATAGGCCTGCGGAGGCTTCCGCTTCAGGTGACAGTTTCGCTCCAGCAGTCCTCAAGTGGGATTCGCAGGTGCTCGCGGCGCCTTTCGCTCGCAATGCAAAGGCCGAGACACCATTGTAAACAACAGTTAGTTCAGATCCGAGGACAACCAATTACGGGAACTACAAACGTCAGTTTCGTGTGTTTTAACTCGGTTTCGGCGGATCTGTGGAAGTTCTCACGTGCATCAATGTTCACAACCCGGGATAATGACCACCATGGTTTTGACGTTGGTTCCTCGCCATATGTGTTGAAGCCCCTATTTGCACCATGGCTTCTCGGCCGTTGGCTTGACAAGAGGCGCCGCGAGCAGAGAATGGGGGGGAGGAGGAGGAGGAGGAGGAGGAGGAGGAGGAGGAAGAGGAGGAGGAGGAGGAGGAGGAGGAGGAGGAAGTGGAGGAGGAGGAGGAGGAGCAGCAGCAGGAGGAGGAGGAGCAGCAGCAGCAGCAGCAGCAGCAGTAGCAGTATCAAGTTGACGATGCGGAGGAGGACTTCCTCAAGGTTCCCAACACCTCCTGGGGATTCAGTAGGGAGCCTTTCTGGTTACATGAATTCCTCCTGATCCCTGAGGACTCCCTAGAATCCTGAGGTTTTAGGGCTCCTTAGGATTTGGATTATTGAGGATCACCAGGACCCTTGCGGAGTCCGCAGGTTCATTACATTACTACAGGCAGCCAAACAGACCGTTTGGAATTATCAGGGGGCACTTAGCA